TTGGGGGAGGAGTGATGTGGGCACTCCCTCATTGCCACTGCAGCTAGATGTGCCAGCTGACATCTGAAGCCAGCCCAGTCTCACCCAAAGCCCGTGGTGACTATTGCCTGGCTGCCTCTCATGTTTATTCAAAGCTCCAGGGCTTTTTCATCAACAAATGGTGAATCCTTCTTCCCTCTTGGCAGCATGTTTCCCTCTAGGCCAGGGTGAGTCTAGAAATACCATCTAGGAACTAAGGCCTGGAATTAGGGACTTGATGAATCTGCTTGGTACTTTATGTCACTGTGCCTGAGCTGGTACCCAAGTTGCAAAACAAAGTACTCTGAACTCTTCTCTTTCCTTTCCACAAGCGGAAAAAGGGTTTGCCTGAGCTATACTGTCTAGAGTTGGGGTAGGGTTGGCACAGGCACTGGCTTGGCTGCAGCTCCTCGTGTCTCGCTGGGTGACGTGCACCCCATATCCACTGGGTCTGAGCCAGCGCAGCCACTGGAATTGCCCAAGGACTGCATCCTTTGTGGTCTGACTGCCTTATGAATTTATTCTAGCCCCTAGGCCACTTTTTGTCAGCTGGTGGTGGGACTAGATGGAACTCAGGTTTCGGGGTGAAGGATTTCCTTCTAGCCAGGCTGGTCTAAATGCTCCCTCCTTGGGGACCTGCAGAATTCTGCCCTGTGCTGTGTTCCCCTGTGAGGGGGGCAGCTCTGAGTTCCAATGCAAAGTCCCACACTCACGTCACTCTCCCTCCCCTGGGCACGTAGATTCTCTCTTCACTCAGTGCACTGGCACGACACTACTGGGACATGAAAGAGGGGTGGCATAGACAATGCAAGGCTACCTTTTGTGCCCTTTCAGTGCCTCTTTCCTTGGTATAATATGAAAACGAGGTCCTGTGATTGCCCACCTAATTTTTAGTTCTTCTGTAGGTGCTTCCTTGCATGGATAGTTGCTGAATTTGGTGTTTGTGCAGAGGGACAACTGCTGGAGGTTTCTGTTTGGCCATCTTGCTCCACCTGTTGCTCCCTCTTTTAGTTCTTGAACATATTTATTATAACTTCTTCGAAGTCTTTGTCTTCTAAGTCCACCGTCTGGCCCTCTTTAAAAGTAGTATTTGTTGTCTGCCTTACCCTCTTTATGTGTTACTATTTCTTCTTTCTTTGCATGTCTTAATTTGTTGTTGAAAACTAGACATTTTAGATAATACACTGTAGCAACTTGGGATATTGATCCCTGTCCCCACACTCTCACCCCTTGCTAGGGGTTGTTTGCTTGGTTGTTTGTTTAGTGATTTAGCTACACTAATTCTTCAAGGTCTTTTTTTCTCCAAAGTGTGCAGCTTCTGATGTCCCTGCTTCAGATATTTTCTTTTTTTTTTTTTTTACTTCTAACCTAACCACCTAGGTGGTACCCTGGATTGGTATAAGATGCTTATTGTTGAAAAGATGTGCTTATGCCACCTTAGCTAGTTAGATTTTTACACTTTTGGATATGAGTGTGGCATTGAGGCTGCTATCACATTTAGGGAATTTACATTTTTTGTTCCACATTCACCCAGAGAGTAGTGGACTGGAGCTCCCTCTGTCATTGCACATGAGAGAGTGCAGCCTTGAGCATGAACACACTTATCCAGACTGCTAGGTATGAACCTGGTTTTATTTTTAGTCTGGTTCCCAGGAATTGTCCCTGTGTCAGAGTAGCTTATTATCCAATGATTGGTCAGAGGTTGCATTTAATCCCCTTTGCCATTGAGTCATCTGCCCTGTGTTGATGGTCTGTCCAGCTTCTGGACTTCTTTCATGTCTTCCCCATATCCTGCTCTGATTGCTCCTGAGTAGCTGTGGCCTAGTACATATGCACAGCCTTCTTGACTCCCAGAGATAACTGTGATCTCAGGATGGCTCTTCTTAGCCTTCTCTTTCGCTATTTCTATTAGACTTCAGGCTGTTCCACCATTTGCTTATATCCTAGAGCTTCCAGCCTCCTCTTAATTGCTCTCCACCAAGACCACCACTGTTTTCGATAACATTCTCGGACATGGATTTCTACCTTATATTTTCCAAATGAAGTCAGTCTCATCACACAGAGCTGTGGAGTTTTTGTCCTTATAGCCTGCCTGTCATGCTGGGCAAAGTCCCTATGGCACTGCAAATGAACTGGGGCAGGCACCCACTTTTTCCCGATTGGCATCCCTATTCTACCAGTGAACATTGGGGGAAGGTGGCAGCCCTTCGTCTTCTCAGCTTGCCCCTCTCATCATGGAACCTTTGACCAAGGAGCATGTTGGGCTGGGGGTGATCAGGGACTCAATATTCTCAGCCTGCCATGTCTGGAGTAGAATTTCCATCTTACAAGTTGGGGCAGGGGAGAGAAAAAAGCACAAGATGCAGCCACTTTTGCCTGCAACATGGGGCTGGGAGTGGGAGGCAGTTGCATGGGAAACAGGTAGACTTCCTATCCTGGGACAAATCCATAATCCCTGACAAGAAGCTGCCGGGGTTGGGGAGAGGGAGCCACTATCTTCTTAGCTGTACTGTCCCAGAGTAGAACTTGTATAACATGAAGTTAGGGAAGGGGTTAAAGGAGAAAATCATGGCCCAAACATCATAGACTCTCAATGTTCTTAATAAGGTTTAGTAGATTTTCTTGAATGTTTCTCTATTTGCTGTCTTCCCTTGAGTCCAGAGACTTTAAATGATTTATTTTTTAAATTATAATTTTCATCAGTTAAATCATTGTTTTATTGTGGAGGGGATCTGTCAAACTCCTTACTCCTCCATTCTGGAAGTTTCATCTTGCCATTATCATTTTGCTATTTGTTTTCTATTCATCCACATTTGCTTTGCTCCCTTTTACCCTCTTCTTTTCTTCTTTTGGATTATTTTTTCATGATTGCACTCTACTTATTTTATTGGTTAATTAGATATGCTTCTTTTTTATGATTGCAGTAGAGTTTACAGTATTCTTCTTTCTTTAACTCATCACTGTCTACCATCAAATATTATACGCCATCACATGTAGCATAATAATTTTATAATAGTAAACTTCCATTTCCCCTTCATGATTTTGTTGCTATTTTTGTTATTTATTTACTTTTACATATATTAGAAGTCCCAAATGCATTATTATTTTTTATTTCAACAATTATCTTTTAAAGAAATATTAACAAGAAAAACAATGTTGTAAATTTACCCACATATTTATCTTTTCTGGTGCTATTGATTCCTTTGCTTAGATCCACATTTCTATCTTGTATCATTTTCCCTCTGCCTAAAGGACTTCTTTAATATTTCTTATCATGTTGCCCTTCTGGAGAAGACTTCTTTTGGCTTTTTATGTCTGAAAACAGTCTTTACCTTGTCTTCATTATTCCAAGATATTTTTGCTGTGTATAGACTAGTAAGCTGATAGTTTTTTTTTTTTTAAAAGTACTTTAAAGGTGTCACTTCACTATCTTCTGACTTTCATTGTGCCTAAGAAGTTTTCTATTGGTCTTATGATTTTTTCCTCTTTGAGTAATGTTCTTTTATCTTTGGCTGTTTTTAAGATTATCTACCACAGGTTTTCAGCAATTTGATAATGATGTGCCTCTCTGTATTTTTCTTCATGTTTCTTTTCCTTGAGGTTCACTGAGCTTCTTGGATATGTGTTTATAGTTTTTCATCAAATTTGGAAATAATTTGGTTGTTATGCCTTCAATTATTTTTTGCCTTCTGACAATCCTGCAAGACCTCAATTTTACATACATACAGACACTTTATATTTTCCACAGATAACACATGGTGTGTACATTTTTTGTCTTTTTCCTCATTTTATTTTGGATTTTTTGATGTCTTCAAATGTACTAGTGTTTTCTTCTACAGTGTCTAATCTGCTTTTAATCCTATCTAAATGTATTTTTCATCTTTAGAAGTCCAACATGGATCTTTTTCATATCCAACATTTCTCTCTTCATTGTGCTTATGATTTCCTCTAACTTCTTGAATATACATTGTATATTTTGTGTGTTTCTAATAGATGTATCTTTGCCTATTCATTTTTTAATCAGTGGTGTTTCTTCATCTGTTTCTATAATACTAATTCATTTTTCTCTTCATTATTAGTCATATCTTCCTGCTTCATTACATGACTAATTTTTTATTGAATGTCATATATATATTGTGATTTTACATTGTTGAAGTCTAGATTTTTTTTTTATATTGCTTAAAATATTTGGGGTTTTGTTCCGGGATAAAATTAAGTTACTCGGAAACAATTTAATACATTTAAGCTTTGCTTTTAAACTCTATTAAAACAACCTGCAGTCTAAGGCTAATTTCATCCTGATACTAAGGCAACACTCTCCTGTGGTAGCTATCTGATGCCCCGTATATTGGGAAATCTTTCCACCTTGTTGTGGAATACAAAATACCACCATCCCTATGTGAGCTCCAAGGATTGCCAGACTGCTCCTTTCCAGTGGTTCTTTCCTCAGTCTTGCTAGCTTCCTCACTGAGTACACTGATCAGAACTCACCCAGACTCCTGAAGAAGCCTCTACAGATCTCCTGACCTCTCTTCATCTATGTAGCTCTCTCCTATCTGGTATTCTGCCCCATAAATTCTAGCTTCCTTGGCCTGCATTTACTCTAAACTCTGTCACCTCAACTTGGTGACACTGCTAGAATCTCTTTGGCTTCCCTTTCTCTATACTTTGACCAAGAAAATTTCTTCAGGAAGTGAGCTATGCATGTGTAGGGCTCCTATCATTTGTTTTCCTTCTCTGGGATCACTGTCCTGTGTTGCCAGTGGTCCATTATGGCCAGAAGCAGAAGGCCCTTCCCTTTATTCTCTTGAAAATAATGGTAGTAAATCTTTGTCCATTGAAAGGGGTTTTTCTTTTTAGAAACAGTTAAAAGTCATTCAGAGCCAAATTTGCTGAATAAGGGCAATTAAACTAGGAGCAACTAAAAATGAATAAGTTATTTTCTCAAGCAGCCTGTAAACTAACTCTTTTCTTGTGTATAGATACAGGACCCAGTATCCAATCCTAGGCCTCCTGTATGATGACTATGAATATATACCACCAGGTAGTGACACACAGACTATTGTCATTGAGAAAACAGAAGACAAATGGACTTGTGTAAGTACACTTGGGCATTTCTAGCCCTATTTGGACTATTTCTTAACAGCTTTTAAAAATTAAGGTAAAATATCAAATGAATTAAAATCCTTGAGTATTTGTTTGTCAGGACTTTCGATGTTTCCATTACTGATATACAGTGGGAATTAAGAAACTTTGAAAAGATTCATACATGGGGTAATATAATTGATTAGCTAAGCTATGATAAGTTAGATAGGATTTTTACCCTAAAGGGAAAGAAGATTGACGTTTGCAATATGCTAATTTTATTTATTTCCTGATTCCATTCAAATTTTCTAAAAAAAAAAAAAGTTTCCTTTTTTCTAAAGCAGGTGGCAAACATCTTATACAATTATGAAGGGAAGTGGAGGATGGAGAAGAGGCATGTTTTAATACAATTTGTCTTACAATCTTGAATGTGGTACTTATTCCTGTAGATTATATTTTTTTAGGATTTTTGAAAGAAGATAAGAGGTATTTCCCACTAGATTATAAGATCCTCCAGTTTTAAATTCCACAGTTATAGTGAGGCTGCTGAAAAGTACTTTAAATGTCATGTACTCTAATATCTACTCTACCTTCTACAACATCCTCCAGGATGACCAGGTGGCGTGGACCTTAGCATCTTTCTAAGTGGTCCAATCCATTGCTAAGGGGACTGATTATTAAAACTCTCTTCTTATAAAGGATTGAAAACTACTTCCCTCAACTTGTACTTATTGACCTATTAACCTTTAAAATAATGATCATCAAACAGGGGAGACACAGTTGTCCCTCAGTATCTGTGATATGGGTTCTAAGATGCCCCATGGATATAAATACCTGCAGATACTCAAGTCCCTTATATAAAATGGTATAGCATTTGCATATAACCTATGAACATCCTCCCATATACTTTGAATCATCTCTAGATTATTAAAAATACCTGACACAATGTAAATGCTATATACATAGTTGTTATACTGTGTTGTTCAGGGAATAATGACAAGAAAATAAGTCTGTACATGTTCAGTAAAGACACAATTCTTTCCTCGAATAATTTTAATCTGTGGGTGGTTGAATCTTCGTCCATTGACAAAGTGTGGAACACATGGATATGGAGAGCTGATTATATATACATTCCGTAGCACAGTTGTTCTCTCAGTTTTGCTCCCTAGGGGACATTTAGCACTGCCTGGAGAAATTTTTGGTTTCCACAACCAGGTGTGTGGGTATTATTGGCATCTAGTGTGTAGAGGCCAAGGATGCTGCTAAACATACTACATTGTGCAGGACAGTCCCCCCGAACAAAGAATTATCTAGCCCCAAATGTTAATAGTGCTGAGGTTGAGAAACCCTTCTAACAGAACAGAATGCTCTTGAGTTTTTTTTCCATAATTATTTACTCCTACACTACTGCAAGAAATTCTAATAGTAAGCCACGGATAGTGGTCATAGGAATGTGTGATATCTCTCAGGTGCAATGGACAGGAAAAAGGTTGAGAATCCCAGCTCTCAAATCATACAGAATCTGACTTAAAACATTGTGAAAAGGACAAATGTTGATTTTTTATATTAAAATTCCCCACCTGTCTATCTGCTTAGGTACCAAAAATAGGCAAAACTAACTCTATTTATTGAAGTCAAGAAGTGATTACCCTTGGGGGGTTGATATTGATTGGAAGGGAGCATAAGGAGGGCTTCTAGGGATACTAATAATGTACTGTTTCTTTATCTGGATCACAGTTGCATATGCATGTTCAGTTTGGGAAAATTCATTTAGTTGAATACTTATAATATGTCTGCCTTTTCTACATGTTTATTATACTTCAATAAAAGTCTTACATGCTTAAGTATACTGTAATGAGCAATAGATAAATATACAAATATCAACCAAGTATTCTGCAGAACATTTTGAAGAAATTTTAAAATACACTTCAGATGTATAGTTAATAAAATTAAGCATCTGTTGAATAACTCACTTTTAAAAATACCCATAATAATTAATTAAAGATTAAAAAAATCTTTTGGTAAAAACAAGCTCAAATATTTGAGGAAACAAAAAAATTCAGAAAGTTTTTAGCTCTGAAGGCCTTCTTTAATTATAACCAAGCCATCAATCTTGTAAATAGGGTTGTTATCATCAATTGAAACAATGTTTAGTAATGCCAAAATGAAAATAACTGCATAATTTGAGCTTTGATTTATGCTGTTTTTCTTAGATCACTAATTAGCTGAAAATTACTTATTACTAATTACTAGCCAATAAAGGGTACTCGATGGCCAAGAACCAGATGAGCAGCAAGAGAAAGTCAGCATAGGATTTAAAATTTGTCACTCAGAGATAATTTGATGATGAAAGTTAAAACTGAGAAGCAATTGCTACTACTAACCACATGTGCCCCAGAAGTGGCAACAGTGTGAGTACCTGTCAAAGAGTCTACAGAATTGTAGCCATTACCTCTGTCTTCATTAAAAATGTGCAGCAATAAACATCAAACTTGATATGTGAAAGGACGATAGACACTGATAGGAAGTTCAAACTATATTTAAACTCACAGATGATAGATCCGTATTTCTGAACAGAGACATTTGGGCATATTTAACCTCTAAATATAACAGTAAGGAGGAAATCTACTCAATTCTCTTTCCCTTCTGCTTAAAGTCATTTGCAATATCTACTTTGACTAAAATCAGATAAATTATTGTTTCATTGAATATACATATCAAAGAGTACCACAAAAGTGCAATACATTTCCTTTGGTTTTATACATATCAATTTAAATAATTTTCCATAACTGTGTACATACAAGGTCTTAATTATGAACCATTTGTAAGATAACTTTTTTTTTTCTTTTCTAGCCATGAATGAATCCACTTTAAAGTATACAACTCAAAGGAGGTTTTGAGTGTCTACGTTAGTACTTTGTTATTTTTCTATCACTGAAGGCCAATCAAAATTTGAACCATGTTACTACCCAACGAACCTAATGAAATGAACTAGTTCTGCAGATGACAGTTTCTCCAGCCATTTATGAAACCTGAATCATTTCTATAACATCTATGTATTCAATGTAACAACATAAAAACTGAAAGAGGGACCTGCTTGTTGAAACTTTGATTTTGAACACTGTAGAACATAACCTGTTATTTTTCAGATAGGCTGTTTCCTAGATACTGAACTAATTTGTTGGGGTAAAGATTCTACAAGTTATTCCATTAGAAGATTTCTCTGATGTTAGATGAGCAATTTGGCTGTAAGATTAGGTTTTTTTTCTTTTTTCTTTTTATACAGAAAGAGGCAAAAGACAACTGAACTTCAAAAAAATAGTTTAGTGTATGATATATTGTCTGTATTTGCTTTTCTTACATTAAGCCTTGTGACTAAAAGATATGCTTTAGTACATGCTATTTACACCTCTTGGAAACATAATTAAATCAAAGGTGATGGTTAATTTCATTTAGCAGGGAAGTGGGATAATATCTTCTTAAACAACTAAATCCACTAAATTGTACATTATGTTATTGTGGCTCTAAGTATGTATGAGTGCCTTGGAAAATCTGTTCTTCCAAAGCATATCCTCCCCAAATGAGCCCACCCACTTCCTTAAAAACATATAATGCTGTATGGTAGTAGCAAGTGGAAGGAATGTAGGCTTTTCCATAGTGGTATATAAATGTAGCATTGAAACATTACATAGATATAAAGGCTTAGGGAATAAAATAGCAACAAAAAATACTTGATAGCTATATCCTACTTGGGAGAAATATTTTGTAGTAGAGTATCTAATATATTTAGAATTTGGTTAATTAATTGGGCTCTAATGACCTTACAAAGTGAACCTAAGTATTTTTTAAAAACATTACAAGAATGAAGTTTCTTAATTTCAACCTGTCTGATTAAAGTTAAGAATTAGCAAAAATTAAAACGTTGCCTTTGTCAAAGTATAGATTAAGGCAACAAATATATTTGGGTTATATGTAAATAAAGTTTTACACTGAAATATCTCTGCAAGTATCCATATAAAATTCCATGATCTCTTATAATTATATTCTAACAATTATTTATTTTACTAAGAAACGTTAAGAACAGATGAGGCACTATAATAAATTAAACCATAAATGAGAAAAATGCTTTTAGTATTCTTTTACAGATATATTCAAATAGGTCTTCATATGAAGCTAAATGCCTTATTTATATTAATACTTTGGTTAAAAAGTTAAGCTCTGTAACATGAATTGATGTAATTTCAATTTTATCAATATCTTGTGATAGAAAATGTTAATATTTTCCATGAACTATATAGTCCTTACACTTTTTCCCCTTGGTGTAGGAACAATAAAGCAGCATCTCCTCTGCTAACTACTCATATATATAACTGTAACAAAAGTGTACTGTGTTATCCAAATATTACAAATGATATAAGGGGAATTTTTTATTAGCTTGATAGAAAACTGCCATTATTACTGTTTGACAATGAGAACAGGTGTGATTTTTCCAAAATATTAAAAATGACAGAGTCCAAAATATGAAGTCAGTGCTTTATTGGCCCACTTGATACATGGATATTAAATGGGGGTCATAACAAGGTCCTTATTATACTTAATTTTTAAAATTCCAATACAAAATTTAATGCTATAGAGATCTGTTCTCTGTATTTAAATGGTGATTGTTTAAATATGTATTTCTTTTCCAATTTGTGATTAAGATCAATAGAAATAGTAGTGATATATTTTCCTCTCAAGCTTCACTCAGCTTATCTATGAAAACTACATAGTTCAGGTGAGGCCCATTTATCTAATTTCTATTCCAGTATGTGTTTGCTTTAGATTTGTCAAATAAAATGGAGGCTGTGTGATGACATGCAGAGTAATTTTTTACATGTCTAAGTGAAATATGTGAAGTATCTGTATGGTTTTTGTGAAAGTTCAAGTAGGAAATATGCAGGAAGGATTTTTAGCTTAGCTGTATATTTTTGTCAGGAAATTATCATGTGAAGGTTTACGTTGGAGCTAATAAACACTGTTCTCATTGAAAACAAAAC